GGCGGGTCCGGGCTGGGGATTCGAACCCGCCACCTTAGGTGTATGTGGCTGACGCCTTAGCCGGTTGAGCTATAGGTGCCGAGCCTTTCATTTTTCATAGAAACAGGACTCACTATGTTGTCCAGGATTATCTCAAATTCCTGGCCTCAAGAGATCCTCTTGCTTCAACCTCCCAAAGTGCTAAAATTAGAGGCATGGGCCACCACACTTATAATTTTTTCCTATAATATTGAAATGGTGTGGAAAACTGAAAAACCAAAGAACACCAAGAGTACCTGAAAGTTTTAAATTTTTAATAAAGAAAAAATGACTTCATGACAGTCCTTAAGGCAGTGGAAGAATTTGGGAAAATATCGATTCCCTGGTGTTTTCAATGCACTTGCAATAATAAACAATGAAAATGTTCATAAATTTCAGAAAGAGATTAGGCCTGTGTTATTGTTATAAGGGTGCATAAAAACAAGAATGACTGCTGAGGGACTGGTCCTCACTGGTGGTGACCTGCAGAAGAGACCAGGTGGCCTGGCCATGTGTTTCCTCATGGCCTCAGCAACTGGAAGGCAGGAGCTCCTAGGATTCCATGGTGTCCCCACCTTCTAATTCTGTTGTGGAGACTCCAGACTGTTACCTGGCATTCTACCTCTGGCAGTCCTGTCAGAGCCTACGTTACAGGCAGTACCTCTGAGTTTAGGCATTTTGTGCCTTTTTTGTGGTTAAGGATTCTCAGAGTTGTAGGATGCTAACAAGATGTATCCCAAAAGTAAGTTATGAATAAAATCTGCATTCTTGAGACCTGTTTAAGTCCTTTTTTAAATATAAAGAATTGTGGTATAATTGACATATTACTGCCCATTACAATGGTACAATTGAAAGATCTTTAGTAATTTACCCAGGTAGTGCAACCATCACCATAATCCATTCACTTGTTTTTAATGTATTATTTGTTTCAAATCTTCTCCCAGGTTCTGGCTCTACTTCCCCCATAAGCTTCAACATGGAAACGTCTCTTACCACTTCTTCTGGTCAGAGGGCAGAAATGAGCACCCTAGAAGCCAATCAGTACTTGCATTCCCAGCTGGAAAAAACCAAACAGAACTTCCGAGACCTTACAGAGAAGTACTTCACATCCACAGCTACTGCCTTCTGTCTGGCCAACTGCCTGCAGAAATACAGTAAGTCCTGCAGGGTCATGGTCACCAAAGTGATCAAAGATCGTCCATCTTTCCTCTGAGAAATGAACATTCTCGAGACTTTAGTCTTCTCTCTCCATCAAAATTAATTTTAGCCTGACCATACTCTCCAAAAAGTAGTAGATATTTTACTCTTAATTTGCAGAGGATGGAAAAACGAAGGCACAGAGGAGTAAGGTTGGCAGGGAGAATGTAGAGAGAAGTAGAGACTGAAATGGTTCAGGCACTGAACTCTTTTCTCGCACAGGAACATTTCTCAGCTTCTACAAACATATAACCTGACAATTGGCTTAAATATCTCAGAATTCAACTCAAACTTTTAATCAGCACTCATTCTCAAAACACTGTGCCAACAGCACTAGTGGAGAAAGAGTAATAGTACATCCTCCTCTGAACTAAAATAAAATCTTAAGGCTCCCCCAGCTGACTGAATTGACCCCCTTTTGGCCAAAGAATATACTTGTCAGGGTGCGGGCTAGTGGATGTGGGTTTTGAGAAAGCTTTCTCCAAAGATTAAGATAGAAAGAAGAAAAGTTGATTTTACTTTTACCAGATGAGTAAAAGGGCCAACATGGTGAAAGACAGGGAGATAAAGTTGGCAGAGACAATCAGATGCTCTGTCTTTTTATTTAGGGGTTGTAAAGGGGATGAAGATTTATGGCTGTAAACAAATTAACAGGGTCCAGACCTGCTGCACCTGCATCTTGTCTCTTCCTAGCAGCAGACTGATAACAACAGAAGGAGCTGCCTTCCCATTGGAGACGTGATCATGGTCATCATTAATTCTGTCCCTGGGGCAGAAATGAGGACTGTGCCTAGTACCCCTGTTGTCTGATCTTGTCTAGCTCAGGAACTCTTGAAGGTAGAAAACCAGATTCTAAAAGGCAGTTGTTAGTGAGGTCTAGCAATTGTTAAAAAATGTTATGTTTCCTTTCCATCTGCTCCACTCCTTTTAGATCTTGTGAAAGCACAATTCCATAGGATGCCTGTTAGCAAGAAAGCTAATTGATCTTAGCCCTTATTGAGAAACTATGGTTAATATTTTTCTGATATTTCACTAGCAAGCAAAGCCTTCCTTTCACCTTAAAATGAGATACTAGCCATGAGAAGGGAGGTCACATAGCCTCATCAGGCCACCCTCCTTTCCTGTAGATTTCCTTTATAAGTCATTAACAGCTCTAAGGCTTTGTAACACAAGTCCGTAGTTCAAGTGATAAAAAAAAAAAAAAATCACTTGAGTCTGGTCAGGAGTTCTGATTAACAGACTTCCTTAACTTAAAATATTCCAAACCTTTAGATAAAGCTTCATTTCTTTAATTACAAATTAAAATTACCAATTACAAATTACACCCACCTATAGCCCATAAGCCCCTGCTTTGAAATGTCCCATCTTTGGGGGATAAACCAATGTACACCTCCCATGTATTGATTTTGTTATGGGTCAGAGGTCCCAATTTCCCGAACCCAGTTGACTTGGTTAGGTTACTTGGCTGAGCTAGAAAGTTCAACCAAGGCACAGTGGTAAAGTGAGACTCTGTCTCAAAAAAAAAAAAAAAAAAAAAAAAAATGGAAACTGAAAATAAAACTGAAGCAGCACAGGCAGCGGGAATAGAAAGCAAAGTCACCTGCACAAGTTTCAGAGCAACAAAGATAAATTTTATTTAGGAAGAACAAAGAGAAAGATTGGAGCACTTCCAAAGAGTTGGAAGTGAGTCCCTCTACATGAAGAAGAGATGAGAGAGGGAGATGCAAAGGCCTGCAGGAGTATAAACACCTATTTGTTTGAAATGGGCTGCAAGACTTTCATTGGCCTCTCTGCACCTCCAGGCATTATTGCCCTTTTCTATTAGTCATTGTTATCTCTTTCTATTGGTCCTAGGTTGCCTCATACACACATTCTTTTTTCTTTTATTGTTGGAGATTCATTGAGGGTACAAAGAACCAAGTTACATTGATTGCATTTGTTAGATAAAGGCCCTCTTATAATTGTGTCCTGCCACCAAAAGGTGTGTCACACACCACAACCTCCCACTCCTCTCCTTCCTTCCCTCTCTCTGCTCTCCCATTCCCCCACCCCCTACCGTGTACTAAACCATTAATTGTCCCCATATCAGAATTGAGTACATAAGATTCTTGCTTCTCCATTCTTGTGATGCTTTACAAAGAGAAATGTTCCACTTTCATCCAAGTCAATACAAAAAGATGTAAAGTCTCATACCCACAATCTTATGGGCCTCCAGATTTCCTGGTTTATCAGGCCAAGCTTTCCTCCCACTCCCCTTGAAGTCCTTTTCTTAGTGCTGCTTCTCAGATTTACAACTTTATGTGTAATTTCCATCTCCCTGAATGTATAAAACCAAACTGTTACCCAACCACAACAAGTCTACTTGCTTAAGGCTTGTTAGGCGTAGGTCTGGGCCATGGTCCTCAAATGTGACTCAGAATAAACCTCTTTAAATTATTTTATAGAGTTTGCCTCCTTTTCTGCTGATACTGCAGCCTTAAAGAATTTAAGCTATCTGTTCCCAATGGAGTCACAGATCTCTGGAGATGGGAAAGTCAAAAGCAGACACAGAGGAAAACCTTGATGTCTGGAGCAAGATTATTTTCCCACAGAAGTTCAAAGGAGCAATTCCTTATACTCTGGTTAGACTGAGGGTGTTTCCAGGAGAAATGAAAGACACTATAACTTCCTGTCTCTTCCTGAATATAAACGTTGCACCCGCAAGCAACTCCAGGTGGGCATCTAGGACTGGGCTATGAGACAAATGGCCAAAGTGAAAACAAGGCCCAGTGGCAGAAGCAGGCCAGGCCAGTGTGGGGCTGGCCCTTCCCTCTCCAAGTTAGCTTCCATATTTGGAAATTCACTGGAAAATCCCAAACCTGTTAAAAATTGCTGGGGGTGGGCCCGGTACAGTGGCTCATGCCTATAATGCAGCACTGTGGGAGGCCGAGGCAGGTGGATTGCATGAGCTCAGGAGTTCAGGACCAACTTGAGCAAAAGCGAGACCCAATATCTACTAAAAATAGCAAAACCTAGCTGGGCATTGTGACAGGAGCCTGTAGTCCCACCTACTCAGGAAGCTGAGGCAGGGGATCTCTTGAGCCCAAGAGTCTGAGGTTGCTGTGAGCTGTGATGACAAGGCATTCTACCCACCACACAGAGTGAGACTCTGTCTCAAAAAAAGAAAAAAAAAATTGGTGAGGATGAAGACAATCCAGCCACCTGTCACTGTCAGCCAAATGCAGAGACAGGAATTAGATTTGACCAGCTTTATTTTCAGAAGACCAGCAATTCTGGAGAACAGCAAGAATACCCTCTCAGTTCTGTTCTGCCTCAGTTACAATTCTTATAGTTTTCATGATGGTAATACAAGGGAACCAACCTAGAAAATTTTAACTTTATCTGATAGGAAGTAACATCAATGTAGTCTTCATTCTCACAATGCAAAATGTTTAAACAACAGGAAGGTGATTTTCACTTAAAATATCTAAGAGAATCTTCAGAGAAAACATCATATCAAAGTAACCTTCACTCTACTGATATCACACCACCTATTGTCTATACGTGTGACCACTTCCTCAAGTCTTCCGAGGTAAATACCCATACAATCATTGAGAAACCTTAACTAGATAATCACAGGGGCAGGGTGTGGGGGGAGGAATGTGAACTTGGCAGACTGGGCTCGCTGCACTGCTTCAGCTTAGCTTCTCAGACTCCATCTCCTAGGCTGCTTTTCTGGTTTCACAGTGACTGAAGAAAACATGGAAACAGGGCACAAGAACAGAAATATTAAAAGAAGATTCTTGCTAACATTGACATTGAGTTTGCTTTGCAATTTCTACAATTATTTTTGAATAAATCAATAGTGGGAGCAAAGTTTGCTATCCAATTTACTCTTATAGACAGATAAGTAAAAATTAAAGCCTACTTGTTAAAGAAGTAAAACATAACTTTAAGGTTTGAAAAAATTACACGTTAATTTTATACTTTATATCATTCATTATAATTGTTACACAATTGTAGGACAAAATTTTTTCAAGCCAGAGAAGAAGATATCACCCAAGACCTTGTTATAAAGGTAATATAATATAGTGATTAAAAAGCTTTTACCTTGGTGTAAGCCGATAGTCCCAGCTACTCGGAAGGCTTGAGACAGGAGACAGGAGGAGCTCTTGAGGCTGAGAGTTTGAGGTTTCAGTGAGCTGTGATCATGTCACTGTAGTGCCCTGGTGACAGAGCAAGACCCTGTCTCAAAAAAAAAAAGTGTGTACTCTAGGACCTGGGTATATACTTCCTGGGTTTGAATCTAACTTTATTGTCTCTGTGTCTCAGTTTCTTCATCTGTAACGGTACCAGAGTTCCTGCTAGAGGTAGTGGTGATGCTCACGTGATGGTGAATACCTACTAAAGCAGAGCCACAGCAGTGTGCACTGGTTTTCTCTCTAACCTAACGCAACATCCTTTAGCAGGTGTTTTCGATCTTTTCCCCTCTTATCCATTTTCTTACACACTTGTATTCAGATCAATTTTTAAGTCTTTGAAATGTCTGGGGATAACTGAAACTTTCAACAGAAGAGAACCATCAATCCTCCACTCCTCAGTGTCTTCCCAAACACACAGGAAAGCACTATTTCATGTTGAGGTTTTACTTAGGAGTCTGCAAGGGCTTGCCGAAGTGGCCAAGATTTAGAGTCAGACCTCAGGAGCTGTGAATTCTGACTTTGCCTAATTCCAGTTGAATTATCTTGTCAGGTTGCTTTACCTGCATGTGAGCTTTTCTTCCCTTCCCACTAAAATGGAGAAACCATTGGAGAACTGAGGAATAAAGATGTGGAAATTCTGGCTCGGTGTCTGTAGCTCAAGCAGCTAAGGTGCCAGCCACATACACCAGAGCTGGCGGGTTCGAATCCAGCCTGGATCTGCCAAACAACAATGACAACTACAACCAAAAAATAGCCGGGCATTGTGGAAGGCACCTGTAGTCCCAGCTGCTTGAGAGGTGGAGGCAAGAGAATCACTTAAGTCCAGGAGTTGGGGGTTGCTGTGAGCTGTGATACCATAGCATTCTACCCAGGGCGACAGCTTGAGGCTCTGTCTCAAAAAAAAAAAAAATGTGGAAATTACAATGTAGAGCCTAGTACTGGGGTTTCTTTTGTCCCAGGGATGGAGACTGTCTCCTCCCCTGTAAGCAGTGACCACAGCTGCATGTCCAGCTTTCACTGAGGTGAGTTTGTCTTTTCTCAGAGTGTGAAGAATACAAAGACCTCATCGCATCGGTGCTGGAAGAGGAGCTGCCCTTTGAGCAAGGGGAGCTGGTAGAGGAGAGGAGACCAACTGCATGGCTCGGGTAAGGAGGCACCTGTGTGGGAGGTGTGTGAATTCTGTTTGAAATGTGACAGCCACTACAAAGTGCCCTTCATGATAAAAGTGTGTCTTCTTGCAGCTTTTGGTTGAGTTTTATACTATGTGAAGTATTAATTGGTAGGGCTATTAGGTAAATACGTAATTAAGCAGCTGCTGCCTGGAAAATGAATTATTAATTTGCTCAGGACTACCATTGCCCATCCTTAGAGAGTTTCAGACATAAGGTGGATTGCAGCATTCAAAACATTTGTAATCCTTTGCTGAAGTGAAATCTTAGAAGTTCAAATGCATAAAACCCACTAAAACAGAGCTGTTATGTGATTGAAGGGGGCAAAGAACTGGAACCCCTACTTTTCCCCTTTTGCCTTCACTTCCCCCTGACACTATCTAGGAACTCTAGGGATCAGAGTTTGAAAGATATCTGTAGATAACTTCTTAATAGGACAGGAGGGAGGAGATTCAAGCATTGGATGGAGCAGATGACTGTAAAGGTCATCAGACCTGTTTAGGATTACATGTTTCTAAGCTTTAACTGAATGTTTACTGAAGGAGCTAGGGAAATTCCACCCCAAAATAAGATTCTCTGATATAAAGAATAATTTTGAATTAAAGGTCATTCAAGGTCAAGAAACACTGGAGAGGCTTTCCTTTCTCTGCATACACTGGACTGGCCAGATCAGAGGATCAAAGGGGACAAATGTTACTGGAGGAAGAGGTCTGGCCACATGTCACTATCCAGCCAATACTCAGAGACAGGGTTTTAGGTCCAACAAGTTATTTGTCAGAAAGCCAGAGATTCTGGAGAACAGCAAGAGTAGCCTCTCAATGCTGTTCTGCTTCAGTTACAATTCTAATAACTTTTATAATGAAATGCAAGGATACTAACCTAGAAAATTTTATTTTTATCTGATAGGAAGTAACATCAAAGTAGTCTCCATTCTAACAATGCAAAATGTTTAAACAACAGAAAGGTGATTTTCACTTTGACAAAATATCTAAGAGAATCATCAGAGAAAACATCTTCAAAGTAACCTTTACTCTCCCCATATCATAACACCTGCTGTCTATGTGTGACCACTCCTCAGAGTCTCCTGAGACAAACATCTTCACATCAGGGTGAAGCCTTAACTAGATCATCATAGGTGTGTGGGGAAGGCTGAGCAGACTAGGTCAGCTGTACTGCTGCAGCTTAGCTTCTCAGACTCCCTCTTGCAGGCCACTTTTCTGGCTTCAAACTGACTCCCTTGCTCCTTTACTATTATCTCAAAATATTTCAGGAATGGGAATGAGGGTCAAGAATGTAGGTGGACCTGGCCCAAATCATTTGGGTGATAAACACTGTCTTCCAGGTTAATCTACAAGTCAATCTCTTTCTCCCCGTGATTCATTCATCCTCCCTAGCAACCATTTATGTACTCCTCAATTTCCCCTTCCCCTCTAAAAGGCCTGAATAAAGTTACCTGAACTCCTTTGAAAACTTGGATTATTGTTCTGTGATTTCTCCTCATGTACATGGTAGATAAATCCTTTCTGTTATTAATCTGCCTTAATTGTGAGTAGCTCTCACAGTGAAGTTTCTGGGGAACGGGCAAGTTTCCCCTCACCCCTACGCTACTTACATGTGCACTGTCCTTGGTGCTGTAAGTTGGGTAATACTTAAACAGCTGTTAGCCTCACAGAGCTCCGTTCTACATTGGAACCCATACGAAATATTTATACAATAATTAGAAAACAATGAAATCTCATATAGAGTAATGCAACTGTTGCTCAGAACTTTATTTACTTTAAAATGCCTCATTACCAATTATGGCTTATCTTAATATCCTTCAAAAGAATGTTTTCCTGGGTCCTTTCACTGTTCTTTTTACTTTTCAATTAACACAGACGTACCTTCCCAACATTTCTGTATCTGGCATTTTTGGCCATTTACTGCATAATACTTGACGTATGTTACAAGGAAATGGACTTAGGCTGAAGTGAGATACTGAAAGGCCATCTTTTCAAAGCAAAATTAGTAAAAAAAAAAAAAAAAAAAGAAGAAGAAGAAGAAGAAGGAAAGAAAGAAAAAGCAAACAGACCCAAGGCTGTTTTCTTATTCTCTCTGCCACAGGCAAGTCACACAACTTGGGCAAGAATTCAGCTTGGGAAGTTCCTTAGGGGCATTCTGAGAGACGTCTCTGCCGAAGGCCAACGAGCTGCCATTCGCTGCATTCACTCTTACATTTTACTCTTATTTCCCACCTTAGGAAATATGATTTGCTAATTCAGGCTCAAGCCCAAGAACTGACCCACTTACAGCAGATAATCCAGGAAGGGAGAAGTGCCTGCTACCTTTTCACCCAGCATGTGAAGAACACAGTCGAGTCTTTTGAGAGTCTCCTCAGGAACACCGACATTGCCCACTACCAGGGGCAGAGACTCTGTGAGCAACTGGTCCAAGGAGGCCAGCTGGCGGAGAGCCTGGCCAGCAAACTCACGAGTAAGTTGACTGCAGGTTCCTCGCAAGTCCCCCAAAGGAGGGAGTAAAGTATGTAAAGTTAATCTCATTGTACATTAGTACAGTATGGTCCTAATCTGCATGCTATTTTATTTTCTTTTCAGAGCACTCAGGTAATTAATTTTAATAATCTTTCTAAACTACTTAGTTTTAATCGCTAAAAGAGATGTAGTTGACTTACTTCATCTTGATGAGCATAACAAGAATTTACCTTCATTTCTGGAAGGTACTGTCACTGGATGAAAGATTCTAGGTGGACAGTTTTATTTTTGTTCTTAAAAAATACTTTAAAGGTGCTATTCCACTGCCTTTTGCTTACATTGTTTTCAACAAGAAGTCTTTCATAATTCTTATTTTTGTTCCTCTGCACATAATATGTCCTTCTTCCTCTAGCTGTTTTTGAGATTTTCTATTCATCCCTCGTTTTGAGGAATTTAATTATGATTTTGTGTAGTTTTCCTGTTTATTCTATGTATTATTTTATTTCATTGAGTTACAGCATCTGCAAGTTTATAGTTCTCATCAAATTTGAAAAAATCATGGCACATATACTGCATATCTTTTTTTCCATTCTTTCTCTCCTCTTCTTTAAGACTCCAACTACATTTGTATTAGGTGTTTTGACATTTTCCCACAGCCAATTAATGTTCTGTTCATTTTTATTTACCCTTTTTTCTGTTTCATTTTGAATAGCCTCTATTTCTATGCCTTCAAATTCATCAGTTTTTCTTTAGCAGTGTCTAATCTGCTGTTAATCTCATCCAGTATATCTTTCTTTCTTTTTTTTGAGACAGAGCCTCAAGCTGTCGCCTTGGGTAGAGAACCGTGGCATCACAGCTCACAGCAACCTCCAACTCCTGGGCTCAAGCAATTCTCCTGCCTCCACCTCCCAAGTAGCTGGGACTACAGGCACCCACCACAACGCCCGGCTGTTTTTTGGTTGCAACCGTCATTGTTATTTGGCAGGTCCGGGCTGGATTCGAACCCACCAGCTCAGGTGTATGTGGCTGGTGCCTTAGCCGGTTGAGCCATAGGCGCTGAGCCCCAGTATATCTTTCATCCCAGACATTTTTCTCATCTATTTTAAGTTTAATTAAAGTTAAGTCTTCCATATATCTCCTTATCATCTCATATTTTCCTCTACCTTCTTTAATTCGAGGAATATAGTTATGTTATAATAATTGTTTCAATATCTTTGTCTACAAATTCTCTCAAATGTGTCTTTTCTATGTTGATTTAAATTGATTCTTTTCCCCCCTCCTCATCATGGACCATATTTTTCTGCTTCTTTGTAAGCCTAGCCTTATTTGATTTGGTGCCAGACATTGTGAATTGTAACTAGTTGAGTGTTGAATATTTTTGCATTTTGTATGTTTTTAAATATTTTGGTGTGGTGCAGTAGCTCATGCCTGTAATCCTAGCACTATGGGAGGCCAAGGCAGGTGGATTACTTGAGCTTAAGAGTTCAAGACCAGCCTGAGCAAGAGTAAGACCTTGTCTCTAATAAAAATAGAAAAAGCTAGCCAAGCATAGTGGCAGGCACCTGTAGTCCCAGCTACTCAGGAAACTGAAGCAAGAGGTTCACCTGAGCCCAAGATTTTGAGTTGCTGTGAGCTACAATAATGCTACAGCACCTGATTTTTAAATTTTTTAAAAGCAGAACTAGAGCCACTATTAGTCTATGGCTATTTTTTTCCCATTATGGGGGAAATATTCTTTTTTAAAAATAGGCCTAGCTTTTAGACCAGTTTAGATTCATAATAAAATTGAGTAGGAAGTACAGGTTCCATACACCTCCCTGCCTCCACACATACATAGCCCCCTCCACTACCAGTATCTTCCACCAGCATGGTATATTTTTGACAATTAATGAACCTAAATTGACATGTAATTATTGTTCAAAATCCATAGTTTACATTCTGGGTCAATACTCTTTTGATCAATGCCCTCTTTATTAAAAGCTTTTTCACCCTAACTGGTGGAAACATCAGCTATTGGAAGCTCAATATGCTGCAGAAATTACTCTTTTCAAGAAGCTCTTCCCATATTTTGGATAATTTCCTCACACATATGTACTAATTGGTACTTAGCTGAAGATTAAAGACAGATATTTAAGGCATTCTCTCTTACAGTAATCTCCTCTCTAGTATTCTGTCCTGTGATGTCTGGCCTCCTGGACTTCTTTGAACTTACCACCAGGCTCTTTCTAGGTCCTACCTCTCTGCTCTGCTGTGTAGAAATCTCAGGGACAATTGTAGGACTCACCTTCTTTGTTTTTGTTCTCACGGGATCACTGTAACTGTACTATATTGCATACTATTCAATGTCAAAAGCAATTAAAATATTATCCCCAATTTTTTAGTTGTTAAAAGTGGGAGGACAAGTCTGTCACTCCACCTTGCTCAGAAGCAGAAGTCTTCATTCATTCAGAGTAGCCTGGCCACTTCTCTAAAGACACAACCTGAGCCCTCCTGGAATAATTCTCTTGGAGCGTTCTGAACACCCATGTAGAGTGTTATGTCTCTGATGATATAAGCCCTGGATTTGCACTGTGTGAAATGGGACCTGCTTAATTTCTAATTAGATCTTTCTATTTTTGGTTTGCAGAAAATCATAATGGTAAGAAGAATGAAGACACACAAGAGCTACTGGCTCTCAGGTAATTCTGAATGATGAAAGGATAATGGAATGAAGAATCTAGAGAGGATTCCAAATGCAAATGATCAAGAGGTCAAAGGTCCCAGAGCTAGGAAAAAAACAGAAACTGGTGTTTATACCCATTTTGTTCATTCATTATACAAAGGGGTGTTCTTTTAAAAAATGGTTATCTATTCTTTTTGCAGGTCTTGTATTAGTTCCCTTTTCCCAGTAATTCCTTAAGTTTAGCTACCTAGTCAGTCTGACATAAAGGTAAATTAACCAGGGGTCCTTGGTATCTTATGATTGAAAAACAAAGTGAGAGCCTCATCTGGTTTCTGCACGGATGTCCTGAAATATGTTGGCAAATATTTCATAGCCAGAAAAATTACCTTGAAAACTAGATTCAAAAAATATCAAATATTTAGAGATAGGGGTCTAAAAACCTGCAAAAGCCCTGGCAGGTTACATTGTCTTAGGAGCCAGTATTCAATGGACTACTTCATATAATATTAAATAAAATTTGTACACAGAATTTTGAAGCCAGCATTATAGGTCTCTGTGTGTCGTGTGTGTCATGAGTGTATTTTTAGAGTAGTTGCTGAGTCTACTTCTTCATCCATGTGCCACAAGGCCAGCACACTGAGTACCTACTTCTCCCTCTTCTACACTGACTCTTAAGTGCACTGTCCTCCCGTCAAAAGTGCACTGTTATGCTTCTTCGCCAATAAGATGGTCCCTTGGGTTTTGGGGGTGCCTCTTCCATGAGCTTCATATCAAGACAAGCTATAAAGCTGTGGCTCCAGGTTACCTTGATTTAATCCCTTGTCTTGCCTACCCCAAAAGGCTCAGCAGGGATCTCCAGGAAGAGGCACTAATGGACTCACTAGATGAACAGTATTTGACATGTTCCAGCCACAGTGATTCCCAGCAGCCTCCCAGCAGCAATGTTTTCCTGTTTGATGCACAGGAGGCCACCTCTGCTCTGGATGTAGCCAGTGAGTCCTCCCCTTATAATGAAAATAAAGCTCCAACAACTTTCCAGTAGTTTCTATATGGAAACATGCTCACCACTACCATGAGAACTATCATCTCTTATGTAGACCCTAAAGATTCACCTTGAAAAGATCAGGCTCTGGGATCAAGTCCCAAGTGCAGGTCCCTGGTGGGTCAGGTAATTTGCACTGTTCCTCATCCACATCTTACCTCAGTTACTCTGGACTCAAGGCAGAGAGTGAGGGGATCACGGCAAACTCTCCACCACCACTGCAGGACAGGTACAGAATCTAGCAGACTTCCTTCTGTAAGATAGGATATCTTATCTTTCCCCAAATGATCTTGATAATTATAGTTCCTGGACAGTCCAAGTAAGTTTTTCCAGCTGTCCAAGAACGTTGGCAGCCTGGAGCATATTTTTGGAAGTGCAATACCATGGTTCCTGCGTTTCAAGCTCCAGTCTCCATCTCCACTTGGGTGCTTGCCTCCCCGTAAGGTACCTACTAAAACACCAGATGATTTCCCTAAGACAAGACTCTGAGCTTGGTAATTCTTGGGTAAACTGCCAGGGTTTCCATCCTTTGTGTGGCACCAATGATTTTTTATAAAAGATCTTTGTGGGTTTAGTTTCAGTGCTATAAGCCAGTCTAAGTCAACCACAAGGATATCTGCTGTAGAAAAAGCTGAATCTAACAGCAATGCCACTAGTATTCCCCCATTCCAAAATAACTCCAAGCTATCCAGTGGAGCTTCCTCAGGTAGGTACGGGCCCCTTTGGGTAGCAGCCTCATTGCTGTGTACATAGGTTAAAACCTTAACCGTTATCTCCTCTCCTTTACTTGACTGTTTGGCTTTCTCTTGAGGACAAAAGTTTGTTAGGGGACTTTATACCTTATATCCTCTTCTAGGCAAGAAAAAGACTGTATTAATTCATTCACTATCAAGTGAGTTTTTTGCAGTAATATAAACCATGTTAGGTTTGTCTTTCTACCCCTTTTTGCCAGTGGTGGCTACAAATATGCTCCTTTTATTACTAAGTCATCCACCTGCAAAAGCATCCTCATTTCTGTTTTCAGTTTCACCCTTAGGTGCAGAAGAAGATCTTTATCATCTGCTAAAGATGTTTGGGAGAGGTGTTTAGTGGAAAGGAAGATATTGTCTATTACCTACAAGTCATCCTAGAAAGGGGACTATGCCTTTCCTAGTGCTAGGCAAGCCCTACCTGGAGGACCTCAGTGTTTTCCACCTCCTGTCCACTTCCCTTATCCCTGTGTGGAAGACATTCCATATCCCACATCCCTGTATGCAAGATATCCCTGTGGAGTTAGCTTAGCACTTGCCCATGCTTTGTTAGAATCCCTAAGAGCTCTTAAAGGAAGAGCCTTGTGTTCCTGATGAGAGGATCAAGTTGGCAGAAAAATGGTGAAAGGCAGGGATCTTGACGAGAGGTCCCATTTTCAACAAGGGTTCTTTATCTCCTGTCTTATCCCATGTCCTGGTGGAATGGCTGCAGAAGATGAAATCCAGAACCTGCAGCAGCACCTGAAAGAAACTCTTTTCATCAATGACTGCCTGCGAGAAAAGTTGGAATATCATTTCAGCATCTTTGACCAAAGAAATGGTAGGTGAGGTCCAAGCTGGCCTGCTTCTGGCAACATATATCCTGTTTTGTTTTGTTTTTTTTTTTTGAGACAGAGTCTCACTATGTTGCCTTCAGTAGAGTGCTGTGGCATCACAGCTCACAGCAACCTCCAACTCTTGGGCTTAAGCGATTCTCTGGCTTCAGCCTCCCAAGGCTGAAGGGCGCCACCACAACACTTGGCTATTTTTTTTTTGTTGTTGTTGTCGTCATTGTTGTTTAGCAGGGCCAGGCTGGGTTTGAACCAGCCAGCCTTAGTGCATGTGGCCAGTGCCATCAGCACTGTGCTACAGGCGCTGAGCCAACATGTATTTTTTTAAGAGCATGTCACTGGGGCAGAGCGTTACAGATTTTAAGTAGTTGACATAGTTTACTTCATAAAGTATCACAAATGGTCCAGATAGGGAGGTAGGGAAGGTACTATTATTCCTATTTTATAGGTGAATAAATAGGCTTAGAGACTTCCCCAAGCCTGAGCTATGTTTCCATCTGAGATCCATCTGACATAAAAGACCACTGTAGTGATTCCTATGCTGTGTACTGTCTGCTGTCTGTCTCCTTCTCATGTGAGTGTCATTCAATAGAACCCAGGTTTTTCTGAGCTCCTTATTCAGCAAAATGAGCATCTTCTCTGCTGCCATCTTCATAGGCCTCCCTTTCACCTTGGTTACACTTCATGGTCCTCAAGGTGGTTCCTCCCACACCCAACCCTCCTCCTATATTGCTTTCAACAAGATAGCATCATTCCACATCATGCTAGGCCTGAAGAATGGTAACCGGTCCCTTCCCACACAAAGCAACAGCTATTTAATGGGAAAGCACATGTGTGAATTGGCTGGCATTTGTTGAGGATATGTGAAAATTAAGCTTCTGTCCCCAGCCCTTGAGTTCCCATGACTTTTTTCCTAGACCAAGATAGAATGGAAGGACATAAAGCATTCTCTTAAGTAAACATGTGTTACTTGCCTAAGTTATAATTACTTCCTGGAACAGGATACAACTCTGACCTCTACAGGCAGATCCTAGATTCCATTGCCCAGCTGTGTGATGAAAACAGAGTCGTCTGGGAAGAATACCAGAGACTTCCTGCTTGTCTGAGTTGTACTTCTAGAGGTAAGCGGTAAAATCCCACAATGTGAGGTTACTTTCAGATGGCTCCTTTCTCTTGCCACACCCAGCCATTGTCTTGCCACACTCAGAAGACAATGAGGAGGCCAGAGCTGCCCATTGCAGGGGTATAAAAGCCCAGCTACTTGATTTCAGGGAGTCCTAGTGATATTAGCCTTTAGAAAGGGAATCCAAAGGCCAAAGCTGTAAAGAACCAGATAGATACATTGAATAAAATCCTTGCGTTTGATGTACCTAGGAGGAAAAGAAATCATTTTCTCGTAAGGACATTTGTACTAGATTGTTTATCACAGCTCAATTTACAATTTCCAAGATGCAGAAACAACCCAAGTGCCCATCAACCCGTGAATGGATTAACAAACTGCAGTATATGTATACCGTGGAGTACTATACAGCCATTAAAAAGATGGAGACCTATCATCTTTTGTATTAACCTGGATGGAGTTTTTCTTAGTAAAGTATCACAAGAATGGAAAAGCAAGTATCTACTGTACTCAACTAATATGAAGCCACTAGACAAAGAAATACACTCCCACACAAGAGAAAAACTCAATTCAATTCAAGTTGGGGGGAGGGGAGAGAGGAAAGAAGGGAGGGTGATTGGCGGCTCCCACCTAATAGACACAATATAAGTGTATATGGCATATATGGTGTATATGGCACACCTCCTGGGACCCAACTACAAGAGGCACTCCATCTAACAAATGCAAACATTGTAACCTAATAGTTTATACCCTCATATCAATATACAATATAATATAATCCTTGCCTTGGAAGTTTGGGAAAGAGAATGATTTACTTGGAACTGTGAGAAGGAAGACAAGCCTATGATGGAAGAGATAAACCAGGAAAATATAGGAAATAGGGTGGGTTTACTCAGTAGCTTTAAATCATGCTGTCATATGATAAGACATTGGTAAGACTTTTAACTAACACAAATGCCTGGATTCACATACAGAGATTCTGATTTACATGGTTTCAGGTGGGTGTGGGACATTAGTAGTCTTAAGCTCCCAGGTAACATGGCTAGAGATCAGGACCATCAATCTAATAGCATCTGAAGTCACAGCACAGAAGTTTCCAAATGTGCATCTACTTCATAGAAAAGGCTTAACAACAGCCTTTGGTGGACTTTGCCTTCCTCTCTCTTGTTTGTATAGCATGAAAAAAAGAAGAGAAAAAGAGGTAGATGGATAGATCAAGCCTATAACCTGTCTGTATAGAATAGTTTCTCAAACTTTTTTGACCATATGATGGATACAGTAAGAAATATACATCTCTCTGTGACCTAGCATACATTAAGTAATAAAAACAAAAACAAGCCCTTACTACATGTAATGTGCCCTACTTAGTATTTTTACTAAGCTGTTGCCCTGGGTAGAGTGCTGTGGAGTCACAGCTCACAGCAACCTCCAACTCTTGTTGTTGTTGTTGTTGCAGTTGTCACTGTTGTTTAGCTGGCTAGGGGTCGGTTCAAACCCCTCAGCTTGTTGTATGCACCCAGCGCCCTACCCATGGAGATAGGGACACTGCCCCTACTTATTATTTAAATAAAATCTGTTGTAGCAATCTGTATTGATTTTATAACCCACTAATGATTCAGAATTTCAGTTTGAGAAGTTTTGCCTTTGGTCAGCCTTTATATTAAGCAAAATTCCAATAGAGAGGCTATTGTGTGAGGGTTTCATGAGGGGCAGGCAGCTTTACCACAGGTGTAAACTTCTGGAATTATTATTATGAAAGAGACAGACTACCTGCTCATTGGTGGCAAGTAGCAAAGCTTTATTGTTCCTGATCACCTTATATAATAGGCTGGTCACATACACTCTATTAATTAACAAGCAAAGCATTCTTATTATCAATCTTTTCTAAAGTTAATTCAATCTTCAAAGAAGAAACAATGTTTGAAATCTTGGGACAGCTGAAAAGGGAGTATGTCTAGAGGCATGAGATCATCAAGAGGGGAGTAAGGCTTTTGAGTTTTACTATGCACTCATTATATTGCAGAAAGCAGGTTTATGGCTTCTGTTTCTATGCAGTTTGGAGGCTAGGCAGTTTTAGGATAAGTGCATTCACACCTATCAACCTCTAGGCCGTGTCTCTGCAGGAGAGGCTTTTAACCCCATCCTTGCAGGCTTAACGGTCACATAGATCAGAATTACTAAAGGTGGGTTTTTAGGCCCAGACCTTCAGGCCCTGCCATGCTTGACCAAGGCAACCAGGTCTTCAACAGAGTTGCATTCCAACAAAGTCTGTCTGCCTGCTCTGGAGTTTAAAATGAGCACACAGTATGTGGGGTTTTATCTCACAGAGGCTTTAGGTCTTACTCTTCTAAAGAGAATATATTATAACAGCAATAAGATCTAAAACTCTAGCGGACCACTTTTATATTTACAGTTGCCTTCCCTACACTGGAATGAAATACTGGAAACAAAAAAAAAAAAAAAAAAGAAATTTTCCCTGTTGGAGGCCTAATGCAGCCATACACAAATCCTTTTCTCCTCCTCCTCCAATCCTCCTAAAACAAAGGCATAAAGAATCTGGCTAGCCTCATCCCCCAGCAGTTTACCAAAAGACCCTAACCTGACAGGCAACCTGTAGAATGTGCCTACCCTCTGCAGATCCCATATAAAAGGGGTCTCTAACTGCCCCTCAGGTGCAGACACGATCTTTGCACTACTCAGGCTGGTCACCCTCCCCTTTCAATAAACCTGGCCTGACCATCTCCTCTGTAGCCTTGTCTCTGAGCGCCACCATTTATACCTTTCATTCCCTAAGGGTAGTTTGGAAAGAATTAGGTAAACACCTGAGAATAAGAAATTAGTATTTTTTCATCTTTCATTTAATAGCTTCATTAACAACTTTGTTAGTTCATCTACTAAAAATATTCCTAGAAATGGGCAAAGGAGCAAACTGCTGTGGAATTAGCTTGGTCTCTGCCTGGTGCTCTTTGTTTGCTAATTTCCCTTTTTCTCTTTCTGATGATTCCTTCTCCCATTTACAAGAGTCTTTCTGTAAAGCCTTATTCCTGTGCCAGTCAAGATGACCCAACAGTCTCTAGAGCAGTGATTTTCAACCTGTGTGCCATGGCACAATGGTAAGTTGTGAGAGGATCTTGGGTGTGCCATGAAAATTATTAAGATCATTAATTAAATAAGTTTTGAAATAAGATCAAGTAAGTATATTCTTTTTTACTCTTTTTTTTTTTTGAACCATGTAATTTAATTGTGCCACAGAAATTTAATTATAGGTTCAAGTGTGCCGGTAAAGTAAGAAAAGTTGAAAAATCACTGTTCTAGTGCCTTCTAGCTTCTTCCAGATTGAAGCCTTCCCTCCAACTTCCCCTAAACTCTGTGATATAGTAGAAAAGGTTTGAAGCCTGGGTTGTAGTCTCAGGCTTGTCACCTCCTGGTCATTTGGCTTTAGCTAGTCCTTAGCCTCTTAACACCACCTGCTCTTCATGGTCAAAAATGGAACTGTCCTTGGATAGTTTGAGGACCCTGCTACCTTTCACATTGTAGGGTTCTTCCTTTGGCACCACTCTTCTATTTAAAAGGAATGGGGAGTGGACTCAGAAGGAGGATTTCTATGCAAAATATAGTTTTTTTCCTATAACAAGCTGCTTTCTCAATGTGCATGTTAGAGGCATGTGGGAGGTGTGAAAGACCTTCATTTTTCTCCAGAAGAACAGAGTGGAGAGTAAACTGATGCTGAGGAGGGGGGTAGGGAGCTGGCTAACTCACCTGTAGCAGCTTTGAGCAAGGCCATCAGCATCATGAGGTGGTGGGGCCCCGGTGTCCTACTTTGCAGGCCAGCTATTATATCTCAGGAGACCGTCACTCTAATCTGCTACCTTCACTTTCTCCTTCCAGACTGTAGTTCACCACAAGAATTTATCTACTGAGCCACACTCAATTTGTACCCAGCCTCTATGATCACTCAGCTCTCACTCCAGCCTCAGTTAGGTATCACCAAAACCTGACAAAAAGTCCTTTTTTCATTGGTTTTGTTTTGTTTTTCTGTTTCAGGTAACAACTAATGTTAGAAGTATGAAAAGTTCCTGTCTATTTTCAATGAGACTAAGTCACAAACAGTTCCTCAATTGATGAGAAAAACTAAAACAACAAAACAAGTGAAAAGCCAAATCTAAAATCAGAACTAGATTTTATGGTCACTTCAGATTTTTACTCCAAATGGATAGTTTGATTGCAGAAAGCCCAGTCCTTCAGTCTGCAAAGATGATAACTTCCTAAGGAACCAATGCCGAGATTCAGGGTGGGTCCTGAAAGGCCCTCCCTTTTCCTTCCCCACCCCCGTACTACATACAACTGGAGTCTACAGTAGCTGCGGGAGAGTAAGCCAGGATGATGCCACTGCAGACTGTTCATTCATCAGCTCTTCAGCATATGTCTATTTTCCTTAAAAAAATAAGGGTTTAGAAACCTCTGAAAATAAAGTTTATTTTATACTTATTCTGTTGCCTGTAGTTTTTTGTTGTTGTTTGTTTTCTTTTTAGAGACAGAGTCTCACTCTGTCAGCCCGGGGTTGAGTGCGATGGCATCATGATAACTCACAGCAACCTCAAAGTCTTAGGCTCAAGCGATTCTCTTACCTCAGTCTCCCGAGTAGCCGGGACTACAAGTGACCACCACAAAGCCCAGTTAGTTTTTCTATTTTTAATAGAAATGAGGTCTCACTTTTGCTCAGGCTGGTCTTGAACTTAGGTAATCACCTGCCCTGGCCTTCCAGAGTGCTAGGATTACAGGTGTAAGCCACCAGGCTCAGCCATATTGCCTATTGTCTTTCATACAAATCAAAATGATAAAGCTTTTAAGTAGCTCGTTCAATTTTTACATACTATGTCTCTGATTTAGGAATAAAACAGAGCTAATCTTGGCTCTGTTTTCAGTAAGCCAGAAATTTCCTTTTCAACCATTAATGTCAAAGATCACTCCAATTTTAGGGAGTTTTAAAAATTTTACAAATTGAGCATAAGGGTTTTGCTCCATAAGATGTCTGGAATTTTTATTTAAATATTTGATTTAGATAAAAACTAAATATATAAAAAAATCCCTTTCCAACTTGTACTCACTTTAAATGAGTACATTTTGGTACAGTTACTTAGATGACTACTAACCAGCAAAAAAACAACAGTGTTGCTTCTTATGCTTCTGATTATTTCCATTTAAACTTACTATTTTTCACAGAAAATTGAAACTTTCAAAGAGACAACAAATAACATGGTAGAATCAATTAAACACTTCAGTGTATTGCTGCAGGTTGCTAAAAGTACTATGAATCCTATAGATGCAGTATGTCAGCCTAGTCACTTGGAACATGTGATCAGCACAATGCCTTCCGGACTGTCTTACCTCCAGAACCTGCTCAGTTGTGTAAGTCAGAGCAGCATCTGTCTTCCCTGCTAGTTGGACCTGTATTAGCTACTTTGGGACCTTATCAGACTCCAACACCTAATAGTATAAGGAGTGGCCATTTACAACCCAGTAGCAGTCTCACTTCTCCAAGCCATGTCAACTTAGATCCAAATATAATCCTAGAGTTTTCTTACTCTAGCAGCAAAGATGAGTTCTATGATGCTGATGAATTCCATCAAAGTGGCTCATCCCCAAAGTGCCTAATAGATTCTTCTGGGTGTGCCTCAGTTTTGACACACAGCAGCTCGGAGAATATTCTGAAGCACCCAGACATCACAGAATCACTTAAATCTTCTATATGCAATGGAATAAGTGATGCTGACCTTCTTGACTCACATGATGCTAGAAACTGATAGGGAGGCAGGGTCTATGGAGGAACACAAGAGCATCATCATGCCCCTCTTGTCACAGCTTAGGCTTAGAATGGATCTTACTAATGTTCTTCCAACATTTATTCTTGAAAGAAGATCTTTTTTAGAAATGTATACAGACTTTTTTTGCATGTATCCAGACCTCTTGTGAGCATTAATGACCAGAAGGATCCCCCGAGACTGCATGTTTCAGGTTGTGAAATGGTACCTCTCCGTCCTCCATGCAGGAAGGAAAGGATCAGTTATTAAAAACCATACAACCCCATTTTGGGTGAGATTTTTCAGTGTCATTGGACATTCCCAAATGATACTGACGAGAACACAAAGCTAGTTTCCGAAGGACCAGTTCCTGGGGTTTCCAAAGACAGTGTAACATTCATGGCTGAGCAGATGCCCCATCATCCACCAATTTCAGCCTTTTATAAAGAGTGTTTTAATTTTTTTTTTTTTTTTTGAGATAGAACCTCAAGCTATCCCCCCTGGGTAGAGTGCTGTGGCATCACAGCTCATAGCAACCTCCAACTCCTGGGTTCAAGCAAGTCTCCTGCCTCAGCCTCCGAAGTAGCTGGGACCACCGGTGCCTGCCACAACACCCAGCTATTTTTTTGTTGCAGCTGTCATTGTTGTTTTGGCCGGCCCAGGCTGGATTTGAACCCACCACCTTAGGTGTATGTGGCTGGCGCCTTAGCCACTTGAGCCACAGGCCCCGAGCTATGAAGAGTGTTTTAACAAGATACAATCCAATGCTCATATACAGACCAACTCAAAGTTCCCTGAAATGTCAATTGGGGTGCACAACATAGGGCAGGGCTGTGTCTTGTGTCTAGACTATGATGAACATTATATTCTCACATTCCCCAATGGTTACAAAAGGTCTATCCTCACAGTGCCCTGAGTGGAATTAGGAGGAGAATGCAGTATTGGTTGTTCTAAAACAGGCTACAGTGCAAATACTGTCTTCCACACTAAACCTTTCTATGGAGGCAAAAAACACAGAATTACTGCTGAATTTTTTTCTCCAAATGATAAGAACTCTTATTGCTCAGTTGAAGGGTAATGGAATGGTGTAATGTATGCAAAATATGCAACAGGAAAATATAGTCTTTGAAGATACCAAGAAGTTGCCTATAATCAAGAAGAAAGTGAGAAAGTTGGGAGATCAAAATGAGTATGAATACCGCTGCCTTTGGAAGGATGTCACTTTCAACTTAGAAATCAAAGACATTGTGGTGGCACCTGTGGCTCAAGGAGTAGGATGCCGACCCCATATACCTGAGGTGGTGGGTTCAAACCCAGCCCAAGCCAAAAACTGCAAAAAAAATCAAAGACATTGATGCAGCCACTGAAGCAAAGCACAGACTTGAAGAAAAACAAAGAACAGAAGCCCAAGAAAGGAAGGAGCAGAAGATTCAGTAGGAGACCAGGTTATTTCATGAAGAATGTTGGCTCTATAATGAACCATTACTAAAACATCTTGGTGCTACCAACCATTAGGCTGGGAAATGTGAAGTTTACACCTGATGACCAGGGCAGTAGACATAATTCAGCAACAGTCTTCCTTTGGGAGAACCTATTGACTCCCTTCTTATTACAGTGGTTCCTACCTGAGGGATACAGGACTTTCTGACACAGATGAGCAATTAAAGTAGGAAAAGCTTCCCTTTTTCCTCTGTGGCAGTTATGATTTTGGCTCTATGTCCTGAGAAAAACTTCAGGTTTTGAAAATAAGATGTCTGCTCCTTTTCCAAATCCCAGGCATTGAAAAGCATTTATAAATACAAGTCTCTAACTCTGCACTCTGTGTTGCATATAATTTTTGGTGTGTTTTTTAAATATATATATAAAATATACCTGATTTTTCATAAATACGCCACCTATTATAAATATGGGTTCCTCTAAGTTGTTTTAGAAAATTAGCACAATACATTAAAATCAAGTGTTAGGAAATTTCATGGTCTTACCTACAATAACTTTTATTTTGGAAGTGAAATATTATTAAATTGTAATTATATTCAGTGCTTCTTAAGTCTTCATAAAATAATTTTTCAACCTTTAAAAAATTTACAAATTAAAAACAGTTCTCTGTACTATTAAGAAAAACTAAAAACTGAAATCTGCTTTTTAGTGAAAGCAGATCTTATCTCAAGAACATAACTTGTGATAGGCAAAGAGGGGAAAAGCCATCTCAAATGAGTAAAACACAATTCCCCATGAATAGAACACTTGAGCTCAGCTTAAAGGATATCATGAAGTGCATGTTGGCTTGTTGATTGGGGCCTTGGATGTGGCCCTATGACATATCTGCCCTATGGCAAATCCTACGACTTGTTTATAACCAGCAGAATAACGCACAAGTGGCAGGATGTCATTTTCATGATTACTCTACATAAGAGTATAAGTACAGTCTTGCTAGCAGACTCTGTTTACTGTGATGAGACAAAAAAGCAGGAAACTCAATCAATATGTCCACTGCATGTAGATCACAGAGTCATAGCAGCCAGTTTGGGTGCATTACTTTGTTTCAAAATTAAGTGTTAGAAAAAAAACAAAGTTATCTAATGTATGATCCAGATAAAAATGTCGTATGCCTTTGTGTAGGTATGCAGATAAGGATGCATATATATTGTGTGTAGTGTGTCTGGAGAGAGTGAGAGAGACAGAGAGGTGAGTTGTGGTACTGAGTTGTTTCCCCAAGTTCCAAGTGAAGTTTCTAAATTGCACTTTGGGTTACCTAAAACTGTTCCTCCATTTCTGTGTTTTGTTGTTAAAGTTTTGAAGAGGAGAGGGTACTTATCTTGATCAATGTCCTATATTCTGATCAAATTAAACATTTTGGAAAGAATGGTACATAGGTATTTGTGCTTCCTGCAGCATCCTGCCATTCAAGAACAAAGCAACAAAATATTGTGACTCTTTTTACATCAAAAATATTAAAGGAAACACAGCATCTGCCTATAAGTGTATGGTGCACCAGGATCTACGCTGATTAGTACAGCATTGTGAGTGCAGTAAAGTCTTTCCAATCAATAAGTGGAGTATCTGGAGTCTATTTTGGGCAGGGACTGACAGTCTTTCATTCATTCAAAGACAAAGTCTCCCTCAGTCACCCTGGGTAGTGTCGTGGCATCATCGTAGCTCTCAGCAACCTCAAACTGATGGGCTCAAGTGATCCTCTCGGCTCAGCTTCCCAAGTAGCTGGGACTATAGGCACCTTCCATGACACCCAGTCAGGT